GTGTATACATACATAAAAAAAATAGTAGTTGCATACGTATTCTTTTTTCATTTTCAATGAATCGATAAGCTCTAAAGAAAAAAAGGGGGGTCCGGGGGTTCTCCCCCTGGAAAATGTTGATTCCTAGATGGCGGGAAATGAGCTCTTCCGACTTCTGAGGTGTCCTAATTACTTTTAAGTTCTTCAAAATTCAAGGTTTTCCCATCTTGAAAAGGGTCAGGTGATTTTCCCATTGTTATTACAGGAAATAGGCTTTATGTGTGTATACATACATAAAAATAAATGAGTAGTTGCATACGTATTCTTTTTTTAAATTAATCGATAAGCTCCAAAGCAAAGGGGGGGGGGGGGGGGGGGGGGGTTTTTGATTCCTAGAAGGCGGGAAATGAGTTTTCCTGACTTCTGAGGTGTCTTTTATTTACTTTTAAGTTCATAAAAATTCAAGGTATTCCCCTCTTGAAAATTATTATGATGAATAAATGAACCCAAAGAGAAAGGGAGGTTCAGGTTATCCCCGGGGAAATGTTGATTTCTAAATGGTGGGAAATGAGCTTTCCCGACTTCTGAAGTATCTTTTAGCGACTTTAATTTAAGTTCTTCAAAATTCAAGGTTTTCCCCTCTTGAAAACGGTCAGTTAATTTTTTTCCATTGTTATTACAGCAGATAGGCCTTATGTGTGTATACACAGGGCCGTCGGAACCGCACCGGTCGCAGCGGCTTTGGCCGGACCACTTTTTCTCAATCCTATCACAGGTCTCTCTCCATACCACCAATTAAAACAATCCTTTTTTGGGACCAGGGTTTTAGTGGTCTTTAGCAGCTTTGGTCTCTAATTTGAATCAATATAATTAAAGACCGGCTTTAAAAGTAGTCTTTAATATCTCTACTTAGAGGGGAATTAAGAAATGATATAGTAAATGTAAGATGTTAGAATGTGTGTAGGGCCTACAGTTACTGTAAGATGTTATTATTATTATTAATGCTAAAACTATTTCCCTTTAGTCAAGTCCTGTGCATGGTGGTCTTTTGGTGTGGAATTCAAGTCCCAATTGTGAAGAATCCACATCCAAGAGATCTGTTTAAATGAATTTTCTTATCACAACCAAATTTTGCTGTGCATGGTGATAACCATTAATGATTGGTACTAACTGCTGCGCAGACAATTGACATTACAGTTTAAAAACTTGTTAAAGCATGCAAATATTATCATGAATTTGCGGGAGATGGTTTATTTCGGGTACTAAATGTGGTCTTCAGATTTCTCTACTTAGATGTAAATTAAAAAATAATACATTAAATGTTTTAAAATGGTTGTACAGTAACTGCATGGTCTTATTTATTTTTAATTAAACATTTCTTAGTAGCCAGACATCAACTTGTCTTTCTATTAAAATATTACTGACATTGACACTAACATTATCGTCATTCAATAGAAAAAAACGCTATACACAAAACAGTGCATTGGCTAATATACGTGTAAGTATTATATAACACAATTTATTGTATTGCCGTGTACATTTCAACTTTATTGACAATCCTTAATTTCAATATTTAAGATTGATTTTGAAATTGTTTAGAGGTATAATATAAAATAACAAATAACTATTATAAAATGTTGGCAAAGGTATAATGGCCAAGCCGGCCCTGATTAGGCCTACTTCCAATATAAAAAAAAAGTGTAACCTTTAAATTAAAAGTGAAGACATTAATTTTTCTAAAAGTATGCATGTGCTATTTCCCGGCTGAGGAGCCATGTTTTCAACCATGGTGAAAAAAATTGTGTTGCAACCTACCACCCACCCATGCTTACTGTTATTAAAATGGCCGGACCACTTGCAAAATGCTTCCGACGGCTATGATACATACATAAACAGAATTGAGTAGTTTTTTTTTTCCATGAATTGATAAATCCTAAAAAGAAAGGGGGATTCGGAGGTCCTCCCCCGGGAAAATGTTGATTCCTAGATTGCTGGAAATGAGCTTTCCCGACTTCTGAGGTGTCCTTTAATTTACTTTTAAGTTCTTCAAAATTCAAGGCAATGAACTCAAAGAGAAAATGGAGGTTCAGGTTCTTCCCGGGAAAATGTTGATTAAATGGTGGAAAATGAGCTTTCCCGACTTCTCAAGTAGCTAGGTTACAGCTTGGTGTCTAATGACTTTGTTCTTCAAAATTCAAGGTTTTTCCCCTCTTGAAAACGGTCAGGTAAACTTTCTCATTCATATTACAGTAAAGTGGCCGGTTATGTGTGTATACATACATAAAAAAAAATAGTAGTTGCATACGTATTCTTTTTTCAATGAATTGATAAGCTGCAAAAAAAAGGGGTCCGGGGTTCTCCCCCGTGAAAATCTTGATTCCTAAATGGCGGGAAATGAGCTTTTCCGACTTCTGAGGTGTCTTAATTACTTTTAAGTTCTTCATGTTTTTATGTTCAAAATTCAAGGTTTCCTCTCTTGAAAACGGTGAGGTAAATTTTTCCACTTGTTGTAACAGTAAATAGGCCTTATGTGTGTATACATACATATAAAAAATATTGAGTAGTTGATTACATTATTTTTTCATAAATCGATAAATCCCAAAAAGAAAAGGGGGTCGGGGTCCCCCCTGGAAAATTTCGATTCCTAGAATGCGGGAAATAAGCTTTCCTGACTTCGGAAATGTCTTTTAAATGACTTTTTAAGTTCTTCAAAATTCAAGGTTTCCCCCTCTTGAAGACGGTCAGGTAAATTTGTCTCATTTTTTATTTTATGTGTGTATACATACATAAATAAATGAGTAGTTACATGCGTTTTATTTATTCCATGAATCGATAAATCCCAAAAAGAAAGGGTAGAACATTTTTATTCCTAGATGAATGAGTTTTTCTTATTTTAACATAAAAAAAAACAGCTCACGGGTCCTTAAAAGGTAGGTATAGAATTCTTTTTTCCCCTTTTTTTTGTTGCCCAAAGGAAGGGTCAGGACCCATGACCCCCCTCCCCTAGAGCCGCCAATGTGAATTGCGAGAAAATGTAACTCGGTCTGGGACTGGATAAACATTCTCTTTTCCATCCTTCTCCTCTTTCCTTCTTTCTTTTCTTGCATTTCTTTCCGATCATACAAAAATCTCCATAGACATAATATATTTTCTGCCAAAAAGTGCCGGCCATGCAGAACACATACACATATTGGTCTTTTAATGATGGAACCAAACAGACGCAAATTGATGAAAAATACAACACATTTTAAGAAAAGAACTAAGGATTTAATTGTAAAAATGATTCGGGTGTTCTCTCTCACCCATCATCAGTACAAACTGAAAAGCGAAATAAACGGAAAGAAAAATCTTGTCTTTCTTAACTAAGAGTATTTATACAAAGAAATGAATGAATATTAAGGTAACGTAACGATCGTTCTAGATAATCATATGCAAGGTGTATAGAACACCTTGCATATATTAGTGCTGTATGCTAATCGAAATTTGTAAGCTTAAATGTCTGAGTTGAACATTGAGATTTGGACTGTTCCATTTAATGTGTAGTGATTCTTTTATTCGTAATCTAATTTCACTATTGTCGTGGTCAATGACGTTGAAGCAAGTGGTATTAGATAATGTTTTGCATTTTTTTTCATTTAGATGTTTTAAAATATGTGAAGTTTTGTCTTTGCCAAGGTGTTCGTCAATCCTAGTACTCAAGTGTCGGCTAGTATAGCCTATATAGGTGGAATTACATCCACCACATTTGAATTTCTACACTACCATAGAGCGAAGATTAGTAGGGATTGCGTGCTCGATACTGAACATGCTTTTTATTTTTGTAGTGGTGAAAACAATGTTTTATATCAATCCGGTGCAATGTTTAGTTAGAATAATTTGTATCTTGTATTTGATATCATCAGAATACTTACCAATAAATGGAAGTTTGAAATATATGACTTTGTGAGCATCATCATTAACCTTTGATTTATTGTAGTTAGTTACACTATTATCAATGTATTGTTTACAAATTTTATCAATGACATATGAGGGGTAACCATTTCTTAATAATAGTATGCCTTTTAGATTCATCAAATCATCATGGAAGCCCTTCCAACTATTATTGATTTTATAAATTCTGTCAATAAGTGTTTTGATTAGTCTCAGCTTATAAGTTTGTGGACAGAAACTACAAAATGCCAAAAGTAGACCAGTGAAAGTACTTTTTCTTAATCGTTGTTTTAAATTTGCCATCATTTTCTTTATGTATAAGAACGTCTAAAAAACTTAGTTTATTACAATTTTCATTTTCCATCGTGAAACTTATATTGGGGTGTCTGGAGTTGATAAATCCGAAAAACTCAGTGGCGTCACTTTGGTTATTAAATACACAAAATGTATCATCCACATACCTACGATAATGTAGAAAGTGTGGACACTAGGGATCAGAGAGCCATATTTTTCGTTGGTTCCCATGAATAGATCCGCTAGGATGGGGGCTAGTGGAGACCCATACTAACCCCATCTATTTGTTCAAAATATTTACCTTTAAACAGAAAATGTGTTCCCGTGGTGGCTAGCAAAAGTAATTTGGTTAGGTTTTCATTAGACGTTTTTAGCTCTTGGCTGTGACATATTATGGTGTTAACAGCAAGTTCAATAGTTTTTTTAAGAGGAATATTTGTAAACAAGCTCTCAACGTCAAAAGAAACCATACATTTATTTTTCATATTTAAATTCCGTACTTCTTTAACAAAACTAAAGGTGTCTTTAGTGCTAAATTCAGTGGGAATACATGGTTTGATGAGCTCACTTAAATATTTAGCTATGTTGTAATTGTGAGTGCCGATCGATACAATAGGTGGTGATCCATCCTCTTTTCTTTTCTTGTGCATTTTCGGAAGGCCATAGATTCTAGCAGGGCTGGAACCTTTTGGATATATGTTCTTGTAATCCTCATCAGTGATTTCATTGGACTTTCTGAGTTTCCGTAATAATATTGTTAAACTTCCTTCTCGTTTTATTGTAGGATCATTCTCAATGGAACGAAAGTTAGTTTCATCATTAATGATTTCAAACAGACCTTTGTCATTTGTTGTCCTGTCTAAAATTACTACTCCATTGCCTTTGTCAGGTTTCGTGATTACAATGTTTCTGTTTTTTCTAAGTTCCTTGATGGTCTTAATTTTGTGCAGGTCTTTTGTTGAAGGTTTAAAAGAGTTGCAATAAGCATGAGCAATTCCAGATAAATGCCTTTTTATTTCAGAAGCTTTTCCTTGGTCAGTTAAGTGATTGTGTATGTTATAATTTACAGTTTCAAAACAGGTGTACACATTAGCCTTGTTGATTTTTTGTGGTGTAATAGAACAATTCAAACCATATTTGAGAATGTTTAGTTGATCCTTGGTGAGTGTTATTGAAGAAAGATTTGTAACAGTGTCGCTAGCGTCAAATGGTAATGTAGAGTTTCCAGTTAAGTTCCGGAGTTTCCTTTCATGTGTTTGTATCACCTTGTCTTTATACAGGTTTACATTGTGTTGTAGTGCCTTCTTCAATATATAAAACTGAGTTGATAAAAGTTTTGAACTTACAATTCTGGAAATTTCGTTGACTTCTATTCTCAATTTGTTAAGTTGTTTACTCTTCTTGCGAAGTTCACTTTTGAGTAATCTACTTCGTATGGCATGCACATCATTTGTTTGAACATTAGGTAGTTTAAAACAAATGAATTTTGGGAAAACGCCGAACGTTTTACAATTGTGTACAAAATGATAATCCAATTCAGCTTTAATGAAGCGTAGGGATATCTTCTCATACTTCCTAAGCAAACAAATTGGCAGGTCTAAACTAAAATCCTTAATGATGGAACCAAACGGACGCAAATTGATGAAAAATACAACACATTTTAAGAAAAGAACTAAGGATTTAATTGTAAACAAGTTTCGGGTGTTCTCTCTCACCCATCATCAGTAAAAACTAGCCCCCATCCTAGCGGATCTATCCTACAAGCCATTTCGATCAAGTCTCAGCTTGGCTGATCGTTCAGTGCCCTCGGAATACATAACTAACAATCTCTGTGGATCGAGGCCTTTCAAATTTGCAGCTGGAAAAGTCTGGAAGCACCTCCTACAAGACGTCCACAATCTGTCAACACTTTGTGAGTTCAAATCTGAACTTAAATCACTTTTTTATGTCTCATTTTGAATAAATACAACTGTTTTCACCCCAGTTTTTCACAGGCTTGCATTTATTTGTCGTCTGGCTGGGCAAATGTGTTTCCAGTTCCTTTGTTTGAGCCACAAAGGCAGAGGTCCGGGAATGCGCCAGGGTGGTGATGGATGGTGACCCCGAAGAGTATTTGCATCTTATTTTGCCTATTTTCCCATCCATGTCAGGTCTGTCATGAAATAAATATACATAAAAATAAATTAAATATTTTAAATAATTATGCAAAAAAAAATAAAAGAAAGAAAGAAAAAAAATTACATGTACATACACTCTGCGTGTGGAAAACGGCGCCTCGAGCAGCTCTACTAAGAGATGGATTATGTGTGCCTAATAAGATGGCATTATTGCTATTTTTGATAACCATAAAAACTTTGAGACGGGCGGTTCAATATATCTACTTGGTAATATGTTGTGCTAGTTTTCACCACATTACCATACTATCAACAGTCTAAAACAAGGTAAAATTCCAAGATTGATGTCCTACTAAGTGCAACACAACAGCAGGTTTGACTTGGAAGGAGTTTTAAATTATAATTTGACATTTTGCTAGGCCAAGCAAGCTTGGTTTATCTTATTGTTTGTGGGCAGCAAGGCTTATTTCGGACACCACCGATGCTTGGCAAGTCAAGCTGAGCTTCTGTCTATGAGCCAGCCAGTTTCTTTGTTCTAGGCTTTTCAGTTTTGATCAAAGTCAATCCATTATGGTTTTCCAAGCCAGCCCCCTGCCTAACAACTGTGTTTCAAGCCAAGGATCTTCAAAATACCCAAGGCCTAAAGATTCTCGGCCTAAAGATTCTCAACCTAAATCTTCATCTAGACCTAGGTCCATTTCACCTCATCACTCCCCCAGACGATGTAGTAATGTTACTATGCCAATAATTAAATGTATTGACGGATAAAAGCTTTACTTTGTTGGTAAAGAAATGCTCACCTTTTAGCGAACATTATCATAGAATATGTGTGAACCGCAAGCCCAAATCAAACCTAAAAGTATGGTTCTGCTCTGAATGTCATATCCTACTATGGTATGTGAAAGATCTTGAACGACAAAACATCCAGCAACAAGTTGCTTAATCAAAGATGGCTGAAGATCTCACTACAATTATAAAGGAAGTTAATGATCGGAAATCACTGATCAAAATTCTACAAGATAAAGTAAATAAAGGAGTGCCTGCACCAACAACAAATGCAACAATTCCTACCAATGAGAAGAAATGTCTTATTATAGGGGACTCAATGATACGAGATATTCATGAAAGGGTCCTTAGTAACTCTTAGGTTTCTTGTTATCGTGTTGCCAAAGTCAATGATATAAATGACAATCTTAACACGCCAGAATATTTTGATACTATCATCGTACGTGTTGGTACTAACATCTGTGTATCAGATGAGGATCTGGAGAAAGGGATTCACGATTACGAACAGATGGTTAACAATGTGAAATCTAAATCACAAAAACAAAGTTGCTTTTGTCCACCGCTTGCCCCCACACAGACAAATCTAACACCAGGGAAGAGTTAGCAGTTTAAATATAATGCAAAAAAGACAAGATCAAATATTAGGCCTATTGATAATGATGAACATTTCCTCTTGAAGAATGGGTCGGCTGTTCTTTCAAATCTGCACGTCATGTTAACACACATCACGGACGCTTTCTGCGTAACCTACGATTTAACAGCTTCACTAGATAAGACAACAACATTCAGCACAATAGTCAACATAATAAGCCTTGCTCAGGATAGTAAAACGCTAGCAGTAATGTAACCTCTTTCAAACAGTTTTTCTGGCCTTACCGATGAACTTCATAATTCGAAGGACTTCACAATGGATTTTCAGAACCCTGCTTATAGTCCCACCGACATGAGGCAGCCATCGAAAATACGTCACAGACGAAGTAAAAAAAAAAAATCGAAAAACTAATTTAGCAGATAGTCTTGGTAATGTCAAAATTGCTTTTAATAAAATTAATAGGTTAACGTCAGCTAGGCTTCGTGAAATTTCTCAATTACTTACAAATGATAGAAACAGCCAAACTGGTATCACTTGTGTAACTAACTCAGAAACTAATGAACCTACTTGTGAAAAAGGACAGATTATTAACATTGTGAAAGATTACTGGAAGAATCTAGGTAAACCTACTAACGATTTTGATTATTGTACTTTTCTAACTAAAAGGGCAGTTGATGAAATGCACTCTCTCTCTCTCTCTCTCAGTAAATGTTGATAATGATTACTCTCTAATCTTAACATAGAATTTGAAATTGTTGCTGAAACAATTTCAGTTGCTGAAAATAATAAGGCTCCTGGAGTTGATGGGCTTACTAATGAACTTCTAAAATTGTGGTATTGCTTTACAAAAATCTCTTGTATTCTTATTTAATAAAATTCTCCAATTGGAAAAAAATCCAAATAAATGGAATTTAGGTATAATAATTGTACCTATCTTTAAAAATGAGATCGAAAAGAGTTCAATAATTATAGAGGAATTTCATTAACTTCCTGCGTATCTAAAGTTTTAAAGATAATAATTGTCAAGTATATTACCACTTTTGGTGAAAAAGAAAACTTGCTTTCGGAAGTCCAGGGAGGCATTAAGCCACATTTTCACACTAATAAGTATATTAACTTGTCAGTCAAATGAGGGTAAAACTACACACCTAGCCTCCCTTGACTTCCGAAATATTTTCGATCGTGTACAGCATGTTGCCCTACTTAAATCCGTTTGGGATACAGGGATCAGAGGAAAAATTAGGTGAATCATTAGTTTGTTTTATAGTAACGTTAAAGGAAAAATAACAATGGGTGAATTCATGACTGATGAATTTATTATTTAGAAAGGGGTAAAGCAAGGGTGTGTGCTTTCGCCAGTATTATTTTCTATTTTTATTGATGAATATTTAAATTTCTTCGTGAAAGCAATTTGGGTGTTAGAATGAATGGTATTTGGATGGGAGGGCTCTTTTTGGGCTGATGATTTTATTTTGATATCTAACAGCGAAAAAGAAATGACAAAATTGTTAGAAATTGCTGATAGTTTTGCTAAAGAATGGAAGTTAGAATTCATCCATGATAAATCAAATATTATGGTCGTGGGAAAACGTTTAAATGAAAATAATAAGTGGAAATTAGGTGACAGTTTTTTAAAAGACTCCTATAAATATTTTGGTGTCTATATTTCTTCAAACTTAAAAGAACATACTCACTATGAGTATGTAATTCAGAAGGGAAACTGACACACTGCATATATTAAAGGTGTTATAGGTAAACTGGATAAATTTAATCGTATATATTATGGTAATATATTGTGGAAGACCATCGCGCTCCCAAAGAACGATAATGAAAAACTTAAAAAGCTACAATCACAAATGGCCCGTTTCTTGCTTAAAGCCCCAAGATACATTCCTCAAGAAGCCCTTTATTGAGATCCTGGACGGGTTCCCCCTTCAAAACTATATGAGATTGCAAGAGCAAAATTGTTTGATCATCATGGAAAACTACAGCTGGCCGAATGTTGTACTGCATTCCATGTTAAAACTCAATCGTGGTTTTGATCAACTTAAATTAAGTTTGTTAGTTGCTATTTTGATATAAATGTACAGATGTAGATCTTTATAATAATGTGTTTTAAACTGTACATTATTCAGGATCATTACAGAGAGAAAGGTCTTTAAGGATCATCAACTCCTCTTTTCTAATACTATCAGGAGCTTTACAGTTAAACAAAAAGTGTATAACATCTTCGACTTGACCGTTTTTTACATAGCGTGCAAAGACCTGAAACATCTGTAGACCATTTTGAAGTTTTTCAGTCAAGAGGTAGAGTATTAGATCGAAAATTAAACTTCAAATTTGAATCAATAAACATTTTTTGTCAAGTAAATATTTTTCTAATTAAATTCGAAAAATATTTAGTTGACAAAAAATTGGTATTGAATTTTGAATATTCCTAAAGTGAAGGTTTTAGAGTTACATTAATTTACCACTCTGATGTATGATTCAGACACACAGCGTCATTCAACATAGTTTACAAAAATGGATTAAACATACGTTTACATCAGAGTGGTAAATTAATGTAACTCTAAAACCTTTAATTACAAAAATATTTACTTGACAAAAAATGTTTATTGATTCAAATTTGAAGTTTAATTTTCGATCTAATACTCTACCTCTTGACTGAAAAACTTCAAAATGGTCTACAGATGTTTCAGGTCTTTGCACGCTATGTAAAAAACGGTCAAGTCGAAGATGTTATACACTTTTTGTTTAACTGTAAAGCTCTTGATAGTATTAGAAAAGAGGAGTTGATGATCCTTAAAGACCTTTCTCTCTGTAATGATCCTGAAACAGTCAAATTTTATAATTTCGAACACAGATGATAAATTTAAACTCATTCTTGGTGGAGATGTTCCCATTTGTGACCAATCTGCCAAAGTGATTGATAATTTTTGTAAAAGATATATTCGGTCTGCATGGAATGTACCGATTTAAAAAAAAATCCTAATTGTAATGAAGTGTATTTTCTGCCTAATATTGTTGCTCTTTGTGTGTGCTCTCTTGCTCTTTTTTGAATTTATGTAAAATCTGGATATGCATTTTGTTTATGCTCTCTGTTTATGTTTTTAATTTTATATGAATGGATGCTCTTATTTCTTGTGTTAGTAGGGGTGTATTTTTTATTTTTTGACATTTTTAATTTTTACCCTAGCACAAGCATGCATTGGTTTTATTTTTTTAAATAAATCTGGCCTAATCCTAGCAAATCATGGTTAGCAGGTCACGACACAC